TCCTTATATCAGCTTTATGATTAGAAAGCCCTGTTATTTTGATTTAATATAAATATTTCCCAGCATTGTTTTCTCATTTCTTTTTGGTTATAACATTTATATCTAATCCATATATATATATATGCATATATATATACATATAAATATATATATATATATGTATGTATATATAGATATATGTAAAAGGGCTTTCTAATCATAAAGCTGATCGAATTCATATTATATATATATATGTATATATATATATATATATTATTTATTTTGTTGAGTTGATCACTTGTATTCTTTTCAAGGCAGTACAAAGGGCAACTGTGGGGGAAAAAATCTGTAGCACATTTATAAAATTTTTAAAATGCTATGGCTACTATTGACTATAACCAGTTTTATAAGAGTAATAATCAAAACATTTAACAACTTATAAATGATGAGCACTGATGTATCCGAATATACAAGATGGTAAACAAAAGTCAGTTACGATTATATATTATTAGAACATAACAGCTGAATTCAGAGCTATATTTAACCACAAGCATTTATCATGATCTGAAAGATAAATCCTGTCCAGTAGAAATGGTAGACTTTAAATTTAAGTTTATTTTCCTATTTAATATTATGTTTCTCCTCATAGTTCTAAATAATATGGTGCCATATTACTACACTTTAAATGAAGGTTTCTGTGTAAAGTACATTGTTTTGATATGCACTTCCATTAAAGTTACCTCCTTCTAGCTTTGTTTATGCTAGTGTGCTTTTACTTTGTAATATTGTGAAAGCTATTTTCCTAGCTTTTCATGTGCATAAAATATATTTTCATAAAATATCAATAAAAGTAATTTAGACAAAATTCTACATATTGAAATTGACTAAAGTACTATTATCTCACGATTTATGTGATTTTCTAAAAATGATAGAAGTTTCTACTAGACTATTTACTTAGATATTTAATCAATCATCAAAAAACAACACAGAGAAAAATAAAATTAATGTAAATTCAACTTGATAAATACATTAATTTTAAAACTCTTTTTCCCTAGAATAAACCATTTCATATATTTAAAATAACACAATAGTAAAATAAACTAATATGGACTGATTATTGTGTCAAATTTATAAGCCAACCAAATCTCAAGCAACTGCATTCTTTGGTAAGAAAACCAAAACATAAATTATAAAACTATGTGAATAATATAATTTGATGGCATCAGTAAAAAATTAATCATATTTTATTTCATTTAAGAAAATAATCCTGAAAAAGTTTCCATTAATATAACATAATAGTAGTAATAAAAATACATTAAACCCTATCACGTTTATAGGGGGCGGCCAGGTGGCTCAGCTGGTTAGAGCACGTGCTCTGAGCAACAGCGTTGCCCATTCAATTCCTACATGGACCAGTGAGCTGCACTCTCCACAACTAGATTGAATACAACCACTTGAGCTGAGCTTTAGTGGAGCTACTTGGTGGGCGGCTGGATGGCTCAGTTGGTTAGAACATGTGCTCTTAACAACAAGGTTGCCGATTCGACTCCTGCATGGGATGGTGGGCTGTGCCCCCCTGTAACAAGATTGAAAATGGCAACTGGACTTGGATCTGCACCCTCAATAACTAAGACTGAAGGACAACAACTTGACTTGGAGTTGATGGGTCCTGGAAAAAACACATTGCTCCCTGAAAAAATACACTGTTCCCCAATAAAGTTTTTTAAAACAATCTATCACTTTTATAGAACTGCTATTCAAAATGTTTTACATGTATACAGAATCGGATACACCATGAAGCTAATGAAGTTTAAGCTTCAGAGCCTCTCATTTGTACAAGCCCTTTCCAAAGATCTGAAAATAGTCCTGCAGTGTGTACATAGGTCTTATAGTTCTGTAAAGTTTACAAATATATTTAAAATTTTTGGTGATTTCTTATTGTAATAAGTATCTAATTTTTTAATCTAATTGTTATTTATAATTTGTAATTTATTTCTTAAATAAAGCACCTTCAAAATATCAGTGCTTTAAAACTTCAAGTTTCATATCACCTTGAATCACCCCACTTATATTAATTCTTTATATTCTGACACTACCGTGTTCTACAAACAAGGAAACAGAGGTCAGAAACGTTAATTAACTTATCTATGAAGGCTATTAAGTTAATGATTTAATATTCAAAACTAGGCTATCTGGTTCTAGAGACCATGTTCTGAATATCCATACTTTACAGGTACTGGCATCAACATGGATCAACACAGATGAGTCCCCAATCACTATACACACACAAACACACACACACACACACACACACACACACACACNGGGTTGGAGAATGAATTAAGTTTCCAATGGTCAATGACTTAGTCAATTATGAGTGTTTTAAAGCCCTCATAAAAGCCCAGAAGGACAGCTCCCTTTTTTTTTTTTTTTTTTTTTTCAGAAAGCATCCACATTAAGGAACCAGAATGATCTGACATGCCCCCTTGCTGGGCCCCAAGCTCCCAGAGGGTAGAAGCTCCTTTGTTTGAGACTTTACCCTTTGTATCTCTTCATCTGACTATTGATTAATTCTTTAGTATCATTTAATATCTTTTAAAAGAAATTGGTCATTTAGCAACATATTTCTCTGAGTTCTGTGAGCCATTCCAGATAATTAATTGATCCCAAGGAAGGGGTTGTGGGAACCTCTGATTTATAGCCAGTTGGTCAGATAACAACCTGGATTTGGAATTGGCATCCTGATTTGGAGAGGGTCACTGGGATCTACTGGGGGCTGGTCAGAAGCACAGGTAACAGCCTGGGCTTGCAAGCAGTGTCTGAAGTGTATGTGTGGGGAGGGGTAGGTAGTCTTGTGGGACTAAACCCTTTATCTATGGAATCTGATTCTGTCTCTGGGTAGAGAGTGTCATAACAGCGTTGAATTCTTGGACACCCCGCTAGTGTCCAAAGTTGTTTGTTGGTGTGTGTGGGGAATCCCCCAACACACATGATAATTGGCACCCAATGTATAAGCCTTCACCCATGTCGAGTTGCCAAATGGCTTTCCTCTAGAAATAAGGCCTACATCTGCTTCTGTTGAATGTTGATAATTGAGTTGAGTGTCAAACCATGAACTCCCCAATCTTTTCAACCTTGTTTCTGACATTTTGTTAATTGATTTCCAGGACATATTCCTCACCACAGGGTGCTCATTCTGTGTCTTCTTTTCTCCACTTGCTAACCTCAGCTCCAAAGTTCAGACTTCATATTCATCTATACTCATTCCCAAGGAGACCTCCTCAAGCTCAGATTCATGGCTTTAAATACAGTCTCTGCACTTTGATATTATCTAAATATCCAACTTAGGCCTGTGACTTCCCTCTGATCTCCAGACTTTTATACTAACTTGCGTACTTGACTTCTACCTGGATAATTGTATTGAAGTTAACTAGTCAAAAAAAAAATAGTACAAAACCAAATTATATTAATTTCACTCAGTCTCCAAATGTGCTTCTTCTCCATTGCAATTAATGTCACAATCATATATCCAAATGTTTCCTTCAAATCACTTGGGTTATTATTATTTTAATACTCTTTCTTTCATACTCACATACCATTTCTTAGAAAATCATCAAATCTACTTTTAAAATATATTCCAACCTGAGCACTTTACATCTTTACCATTCAACTATATTTTAAGCCACCATTCTCTCTTCCCAGACTACTAAAATAGTTTTTCACAGATCTCAATGCTTCCAGTCATTATAAAACAAATCAGAATGTGCCACTTCATACACGAACCATTTTGACAGCTTCCCATTATATTTAGAATGGAAATCCAAGTATTTAGGTCCACAAGGTTCCATGTGATCTGATGCCAAGCCACTTCTCCAAGTTCATATCCACCACTCTCCTTTTAATTCATACTAACTAACCACAACTAGCTCTCTTGCTGTTCCTATAGAAAGCCAAGTAAGTTTCGGTCTCCTTTTGGTAAATCATAGAGTAAATTAACATATATGTTAGTATGAGAGTGAATCACTGTGTATTAATCATACATGAAATCCTATATAATCAATTCAAGTAAATAACTAAAATTTGAATTAAATCAGAAACAAAACAAAGCTCTGATTGCAAGAATGATATTAGCCTACTTGGCCAATGTCCATAACCTTTAAATTAACCACTAAGTGTATAAAACTTGCTGTACATAAATAACATTTTTTTTTTAAGATTTTTATTGTGGAATTGGGTGGATGGGAACAGTGCTGGGGAATTGGGGGAAGGGGAACAGACAAGTTGCTGTCCTTTTGTTCTTCAGTCTAGTTGTGGAGGACGTTGATTCACTGGCCCAAGTTGGCACCATCACTGCGCTCCTCCCGGGCGAGGCAGATCAGTCGCCGGCTTCTGGACGGCCGCTCACTGCGGCTGCTGGCCGCTCACGCTGGCTGCTGGCTACACACGGTAGCCCATGGCAACCCACTGCCACAGGGGCTGCAGCCTATGCCATCGCTGGCAACCCACGGCAGCCCAGCTCAAAGCATCTTAGCTGTAGAAGGCAGTGTCACTGGCCCTCATATGTGGGATCCGAACCAGGGCCCTCTGGCGTCCCAAGCCAGTTCTTAACCATCGCGCCACTCGGCCAGCCCAATAATATTTTTTTATATCATTAATAACATCAACCAAATAAATGATCCAATTACAATTTTAAAATGCTTAACTTTTTCAGTTTCTAAAATGTATATGGTTGTCTATTTGTTGATATTCTCAAGCTGAAAAAGGAATTTAAATTTTCTATGCTTTAATCTTCTGATTAGAATGAGTTACTTTGTAATGTTTCATGATCAGCATAGTGGTGCAAGTTTACAATATTTATTCACCCAAAAACTTTTTTGTTTTAATTGAAATAGGTTTTGCTTTAACAGTATCTGCCAAAAATAAATAAATAAAAAATGAAGCCTTGCCTTACCAGTCAACTATGATATCCTTTGAATATCTAGTGAAGCAAAAAATTATTTTAGCAACAGCACATTCCTTACCGTTCACTTGGAAGATGTGAGTCTGATAGACTTTTTCATAGCCATCTGCATAGCAGGTGTAATTGCCCATGTGAGTTGTGGTAACTTTAGTAATATACAAAGAACCATCATCTCCAAAGTCCTACAGAAAAAAAGTAACATTTGAAAAGTGAGTGTTTGTATATATTTTTAAACAATTCACTTTTTTAAAAAGTGTATTTAAAGAAAAGTAAATAGAGTAAAATATTGTTTTAAATTATCAAAATTATCATCATTAGTCCTGTAAAGCTAGAAGACCTGTAATTACCATTTTTCAAGATATGTTTTGTTTAAGAAGTATAATCTCACTCATACACATACCTTTTTATTATTTTATTTGAAATATGTGAGTTTTTCTGTAAAGTAACTCAATTTACAGTTTTTCAAATTTAGTTTACATCTTTAATAAAGCTATGTCATGAACTTTTCTTAGTTGTAGCTAAAACAAACACCTCTTAATTACATTCTTCACACTTATAACTGTCCATTAATTTTTTATATTCTTTAAGTATGTATTTATCCAGAAAAAAATCATTAAATCAGTGTGGTCTCAGAGACAAAATTTATAGTCTTATAGGTAGAATAGGATTTTTTGAAATCTAGAAGCAATACATTACAAATAAGTTACCATAACATTTCAAAGCTGTGGGAACAAATACATAACCATTCTGGAAAAGAGGGAAAAAAAAAATCTTACACTGTTGTCAAAATCAAATCCAAGAAGCACTTGTGGAAAGTAAAGACAAAAAAAATATTTTCTTCTTAAAAGCAATGGATACACTGGTTACACTGGTAACAATTGTCAAAGTCAACTTTTTCAGAACTCTGGAAATAGGCAAAGACTCACACCAAGCTCAGAGCACCAACTGTGGTAATCATTTCACAAAACACGTAAATCAAACTATCATGGATGTATTTCAATTATCTCTCAATAAAACTGGGGGGAAAAGAGGCTGAATCTCTGTGAAACAGTGGGTTTGTGGCATTCCTCTCTCCACAGCTGTGTGGAAGCCTGGACCTACCAGCTTTGTAACTTGACTAGCTGTGAATGTCATGACCCTAAGCGGGCACCTGAGTGGGGGAGAACAGGTATGCAGTTCCTCCAAAGCCTCATCCCCAGAGCACTGTCACTATTTGACCTACCTAGCAGCTTCCTGAAAACTTCCATTTTTGAGACATCTTTTTTATTTTAGAAAGATTTAGAGCTCAGTCTGTGTAAATAGTTCTACGCCTAAGGCCTTTATTGAAAAAAACAAACCAAAACAAACTGTCCATTGTTTAACATTATAGCTTCTTATATAGAGATACTAGTTGTGGATAACAATAGGCAGGACAAAAAACTTAAAAGGAAACACAGGAATGGGATGTCCACAGTGTGATTTGAAAATATCTGTATATTCCTGGGAATCTATAAGGCCATACAAATGTGCAGGACTGTGCAGGACTGGCAAGGTGTATGTTCTTTACATTTTAGGGCTAGGGAGCAAATTCCTAATCTCTCATCCCTGGCTGACCTTTGAGACCCTGCACTGGCAGTGAGTGAAGGCTAAAACACACTTGTAAGTATTTGTAGGAGTAGTCAACGCATGACAATAAACATAAATAGAACATCTCATCAAAGTTTGGAAGACTTATTAATTCGAGGCATTTAATTAAATGTCTGTTCAATCATTGAATCACCACTAAAATAACTGAGCAAAGACTTCAGTGATCATACACAGTCAACTAAAGAAAAATAGATAAATTATAATATAGCATCAAAATTAAAAACTTTTGCTCCCCAAAGGATACTATCTCCCACAGAATGGGAGAAAATATTTACAAATCATCTGTCTCATATGGTTCTTGAATGCAGAATAAAAATACCATACAATTGAACAACAAAGACAATCCAATTAAAACAATGGGTAAAGGATTTGAATAGCTATCTCTCCAAAAAGATTTACAATGAACATTAAGTACATAAAAAGATATTCAGCATCTTGAGTCATTAGGGAAATACAAATAAAAAACACTACATGATACTGCTTTATATCTTCTAGACTTGTGAAATAAAAATTTTGGACAGTATAACTGTATGAGTGGCAAAGCCAGAACTTTCAAATGCTTCTGGTGGGAATATTAAATGATACACCTATTTTGAATAACAGTTTGGCAGTTCCTGAAAAAGTTAAAGGGTCATCATATGTCTAACAATTTAATTCCTAGGCATATACCCAAAGGAATGAAAAATATATTTCTATACACCAATTATTTATGGATGTTTATAGTAGCATTATTTATAATAACCAAAAAGTGAAAACAACTCAATAACTATCAATGGATGAAAGGATACACAAAGTGGTATATTTATATACAACAGAATATTATTTGGCAATAAAAGGTAATAAAGTACTGATATATACTACAACATGAATGAGTCTTGAAAACATTAAGTTAAATAAAAGAAGTCAGACACAAATACCCCCCACAAATTGTATGAGCCTATTTATATGAAATGTCCGGAATAGATGGAATTCCACAAAGATATAAAATAGATTAATAGTTACCAGGAGTTGAGGGGAATGGAGAGATAGAAAACGACTGCTAATATGTATGGAGTACTTTTTGGAATGATGAAGAAGATCTAAACTTTGGTAATCATGATGGCTGCACAATTCTGTGAATATAGTAAAACCACTGAATTGTACACTTTAAATGGGTTAATTTTATGGTATGAGGACTATATTTCAATAAACTTGTTATTAAAATAATTTATCTATGAATTACTTAAATATAAAAATATAAATGTGCTAAAATAAAACTGTATATGACTTTGGTTGATGGAATCTTTATTGAGTATAAAAAAAATTTAGAAATCCAGAAAGGAAGAGTGATTAATAAGTTTATATAAAGAAGAAACACTTTTGCATTACAAAACATTGTAAGCATTAAAGGGAAGATGATACACGGCAGATTATCTATGTAAAATATTTTTTTAAAAATCAATGCATTTTGTACTTTATTTATATAGCAATTATTATATGCCAGATGCTGCTGTAAGTAATTCATAAATATTGATATGTTCAATCCGTATGTCTTACCTATGAGAAGAGAATCTACTAAAATCATTCCACATTATAGCAGGGGATAATAATTTAAATAATCTTCTTAATTTCACTCAGCCCCTAATCAGTAGAGCTGGGATTTGAAACCAAGTAGACTTACTCCAGGGTCTATCTATGCTTTAAACCCCTACACCATGCTGTCTTCCTTCTCAATCATAGATTGAAGTAGGAATAAAAACAGAAAAAGACAGTCTGAGGGATATAATCAATAATGTTGTAAATATTTCTTAGGGGGCCAGATGGACTCATGTCCTGTTGGGGAGACCATTTCATAATCGGTGTAGAGGCCTGACCACCGCACTGTATTTCTGAAGNGGACCACCTACTGACACCATATACAAGAACAAATTCAAAATGGATTAAAGACTTAAATGTAAGACCTGAAACCATAAAACTTGTAGAAGAAAACATAGGGAGTAAATTTGCAGACATTACCCTCAGTAATATTTTTACTGAGATATCCCCTCGGGCAAGGGAAATAAAGGAAAAATAAACATATGGGATTACATCAAATTTAAAAGTTTTTTCACAGCAAAGGAAATCATCAATAAGATAAAAAGGCAGCCTACTGAATGCCAACAATATATCTGATAAGGGGTTAATATCCAAAATTTATGAAACACTCATTCAACTCAACACCAAAAAAATAAACAACTCAATTAAAAAATGGGCAGAGGGCATGAAGAAGCATTTCTCTAAAGACGACATATAGATGGTCAACAGGCATATGAAAAAATGTTCAATCTGACTAATCACTAGAGAAATGCAAATAAAAACCACAATGAGATACCACCTCACTCTGGTCAGAATGGCTATTATCAATAAATCAACAAACAACAAGAGCTGGCGAGGTTGTAGAGAAAAGGGAACCCTGGTGCACTGTTGATGGGACTGCAGATTGGTGCAGCTATTATGGAAGTCAGTACGGAGGTATCTCAAAAAACTGGAAATGGAACTACCATATGACCCAGCAATTATACTCTTGGGTATCTATCCAGAGAAACCCAAGACGCTAATTTGAAAAAATATATGCACCCCTGTGTTTATTGCAGCACTATTTACAATAGCCAAGACTTGGAAACAACCGAAATGGCCATCGGTAGACGACTGGATTAAGAAGCTCTGCTACATTTATACAACAGAGTATTACTCCACTATAAAGATGAATGAAATCTTACCATTTGCAATGATATGGATGGACATAGAGAACATTATGTTAAGTGAAATGAGTCAGTTGGAGAAAGACAAATACCATATGATTTCACTTATATGTGGAATCTAAAAAACTGAATGAACGAGCAAAGTAAACAGAAATAGTCTCAGAGACACAGGAAAAACTGATGGTTGCTGGTTGGGAGGGAGATGGGGATGGGAGAAGGGGAAGGGATTAGACAGCATAAATAGGTAACTATAATATTGCCCCAGGGATATGAAAGACAGTTCAGGGAATATAATTAATAATGTTGTAAATATTTTGTAGGGTGTCAGATGGTCACATATTTTGTTAGGGAGACCACTTAATGGATGGGGTAGAGGCTTGATCACTGCACTGTACACCTGAAGCTGATGTTGTATAATATTGTATGTCAACTATAATTGAATATATNCTACTGTGTGTGGCCAGCAGCCAGCTGAGCAGCCAGCAGCCGCAGTGAGCGGCCGTCCAGAAGCCGGTGACTGATGTGCCTCGCCTGGAAAGAGTGCAATGATGGTGCCAACTTGGGCCAGTGAAGCAATGTCCTCCTCAACTAGACTGAAGAACAAAAGGATAGCAACTTGTCTTTCCCCGATTCCCCAGCACTGTTCCCATCCCCTAATTCTCCAATAAAAATCTTAAAAAAAAAAAAGAACAGCAAAGAATTAGTTAACATATAACTTCTGGTATCATTAAATCTAGAGAAGGAAGAGGAGGTTATAATGAAGAGGAGCTTACAAAGGTCTTCAAATTTCTTATCAATGCTATATTTTTAAATGGTTACTGTGTCTATAGTCATCA